GGGCATTTGGCGGGGAGAATGGAGGGGTGAATCAGCAGATGGGAGATCTCTGTGTGTCTCTCTATATATGTCTCTCAAAAAATAAAAGAAAACATAGAAATCAATGCTGTGATGCTAATCTCAGATTTTCAGGAGTTGGCCTGACATATCAGGTGAGAAAATAGCAGAAGCACTGAGAAGTCAGTTAAATGCCTTTAAATAGATACAGTTCTTCAGATTTCTGCAGTTATGTCTACTTACAGCTGATTAAAGGAATTTGAAAGTAAACTTCTTTACTCTGGAGAAATAATTGAGCCCAGCTCAGTTACTTCAGAATATCTAGGATTTCTAGGGATATGATGGATTCTCCATTGTAAGGTACCGTTTTTCTACCACATGAAATACTTTAAAATGGTGATAATGACAGTTAGTTGTACTTACTCAGTAATGTTTGGGACATTATAGGAACTCAGAAGTCCTGACTTTCCTAATTTGGATTTACAAATCACCAAAAGTTGTCAACTGGCCCTTGTAAAATACTCCTTCTAACAGAGCTCTTGTATCTTTGATTATTTTTTTTTCCCCACTTAAGCATCATCTCTGCTTCTAGCCACTCCAGCGCTCTAAGAAGCAGTAGTCTTTATGGCAGCCATGTTCTGGGCAGGCTATTGCTCTGTCAGCGCTATTGCTCTTTCAGCACTATTGCTATTCCAAAGGTCTCTAGAATAAGATGAAATTAAGTGGAATAGTGCTTGCTCTGGCAGCACATACACTAAAATTGGAACAAAATTAAATAGAATAAACAGCCAGTAACAAGATGGGAAAAACTGGCAGAAATGAAGTACACAGGTACCTTAAGCATTGAAGTAAATATAAATAGTATTTTTTTAAAATGTGCCCCTGCTTCCTAGAATATAAGCCATGTGTAAAGTGAGTAGGAAAGTTTGACCTAATTCTGTTAGGAAGGTAAGCACTCTTGCTGTGGGGAAGGCCTTAATGTAGTAGTTTTTATGAGAAAAGAGAAATTGGGGTACCTCCTTTTTTATTATTTTTTTTTTTATTTTTTGACAGGCAGAGCGGACAGTGAGAGAGAGAGACAGAGAGAAAGGTCTTCCTTTTTTTACCGTTGGTTCACCCTCCAATGGCCGCCGCGGCCGGTGCACTGCCGCCGGAGCACCGTGCTGATCCGATGGCAGGAGCCAGATACTTATCCTGGTCTCCCATGGGGTGCAGGGCCCAAGCACTTGGGCCATCCTCCACTGCACTTCCTGGCCACAGCAGAGAGCTGGCCTGGAAGAGGGGCAACTGGGACAGAATCCGGCGCCCCGACTGGGACGAGAACCCGCTGTGCCGGCACCGCAAGGCGGAGGATTAGCCTAGTGAGCCATGGCGCCGGCGGTACCTCCTTTTTTTTAAAAAATAAATGTGCAATGCACTTTTCTCTCATTAATTTGTCTTTTTTTTTTTTTAAAAAAAAAAGGTTATTTATTTGAGAGGCAGAGTTACAGGAAGAAAAGAGAGGGAGAGACAGAGAGAGAGAGAGATCTTCCATTTGCTGGTTCACTCTCAAAATGGCCACAATGGCCAGAGCTGGGCCACTCCGAAGCAAGGAGCTAGGAGCTTCTTCCAGGTCCCCTTTGTGGGTGCAGGGACCTAAGTACTTGGACCGTCTTCCACTGCCTTCCCAGGCCACCAGCAGGGAACTGGGTCAGAAAAGGAGCAGCCGTGACTTGAACCAGCACTTGTATGGGATACTGGCACCACAGGCAGAGGCTTAACTTACTATGCCACAGCCCTGGCTCCCGGGATACCTCTTTTACCCAGGGATATGCTGATTACTAAGCTGCCAGAGGAGTAATATTATATTCACTTATACATGTCTTAAGTAGAAATTTTGTTTTTAAAGATTTTGAAAAAAAATGGAAGGGAGAAAGCGTTTCTATTTAGTAGAAAATTTAGAAGAAAGTGAATGTCTGCAATCTTGCCACCCTCGTAGTATTTGTTATAAAGATGAGGTCAAATGGTACATACTATTCAATAAGTTGAATTTTAAAATATTGTACTAATTTTTGTATCCTCAAATGTGTCTTTCACAATATCACTTACTAGCTGTGCAGTAGGTATACCACTTACCTAAGTTCGTGACAACTTAGCTTACTAACCCATTATCTGGGAACATTTGGGTTGTTTGTAGTTTCTCCTTGTTATAAATAATGCTGTGATGAACAAGCTTGTGGTTCAGTCTTTCTGCCCATCATTGATTATTTCATAAGATAGATTCTTAATGGTACCATTAGTTGAGAGGATTAGAACTAGTTTTTTTTTAACTTGGCAGTATTTTTTTCAACTCTGAAATCACTCCTTTATTGTTCACCATATCCCCATCTTGCATTGCTTCTGCCTCATACAGAACACCTTTGTTTTAACCTTTGTTCTTTAAAAAAAAAAAAAATTGATAACAGTCTCTTTCTCTAAGTGGGCTCTCTGTAGACCCACTAGAAATCCAGATGTGATCATTTGGCCTAGTGATTAAGACTAACATGTCCCATGTTAGAGTACCTAGTTTAAGTACCCAATGCTGGCTCCTGATTCCAGCTTCCTGCAGCTAATGCAGATTGGGAGGAGGCAGTGATGGCTCAAGTAATTGGATTCCCATCACCCATGTAGGAGACCTGGATTAAGTTCCTGGCTCTTAGCCGGCGCTTCGGCTCACTAGGCTAATCCTCCGCCTTGCGGTGCCGGCACAGCGGGTTCTAGTCCTGGTCGGGGCGCTGGATTCTGTCCCGGTTGCCCCTCTTCCAGACCAGCTCTCTGCTGTGGCCAGGGAGTGCAGTGGAGGATGGCCCAAGTCCTTGGGCCCTGCACCCCATGGGAGACCAGGATAAGTACCTGGCTCCCGCCATCGGATCAGCGCGGTGCGCTGGCCGCGGCAGCCATTGGAGGGTGAGCCAACGGCAAAAAAAGGAAAACCTTTCTCTCTGTCTCTCTCTCACACTGTCCACTCTACCTGTCAAAAAAAAAAAAAAAAAAGTTCCTGGCTCTTGGCTTCAGCCTTGATCCATCCCCAGCCATCATGGGTGTTTGGGAAGTAAACCAGCAGATGGACTCTCTCTGTCTCTCTACCTCTCAAATAAATAAATAAAAGCATAAATTGCAGGGGGGGGGGTGTGAATAAATCCAAGGACTCCAAACAAAGAATTCAACAAACTAATATACTGTTTCAGGATAACAGTGTTAAATCCTCATGTTCCTTGCCAAGTTTTATTTTTTGGTTTTTTTGGGGGGAGGCAGAAAGACACAAAAGAGCTCCTATTCATTGGTTCATTCTTTCGATTCCCCAAATGGCTGGGCATAACCAGGAGCTGAGAATTCCATCTGGGTCTCCCATGTGGGTAGCAGGGACCCAAGCACTTAAGCCATCACCTGCTTCCTCCCAGGGAATGCATTAGCAGGAAGCTGGAGTTGGACACTCCAGTACAGGATGAGGTGCCCTAACAGCTGAGCCAGTACACCAGACTTTCATTCTGGATTTTAAGTGAACGAAAATGTTTCCCCAAATTTTGGTTTGTGATTTCCCAGCATCTGCTTTCTTCAGGATGAGGTAACATACCCTCTCAGTTCTTGCTTTGTGATTCTAGGGATGATATAAACCTGTTGATAACTAAGTTCAAATCACTCTTGCTAACTTGTTAGCCTCAGAGGTATTTGATTTTCTGGAAAATTATAATGAAGCAAAGATGTAAGAGTGATGTAGAGATTACTCAATGCCAGAAGATAGGTAGACTAGTTTAATGATTTCTTGAAATAGTATTACCAGATTTTCTCCTACACAATATTTATTGAACATCTCATGTATCAATTATATTACATACTAACTGAATTACCTGGTCCCTTATATTTTTAACAAGATAAATTACTAAATCTAGTTAATATATTCTTATTAGATCTAGAAACTGCTTGTTCTGTGAATTAATAAATACTAACTTGTTCATTATATACTCCTTTCCATATTTGTAATCAAAATGTTATGATTGAGAGAGTCTTTAAAAAATCATATAGTACGTCTCCTCATTTTGCTACAGGGACATTAGTTATCAATCAGTGTTTAAGATTTCCATGAGCTAGTATTACACAGCCTATCTTATTAACTTCCACAATATCTAACAATTCTCTGTTAGAAAATTATTTACTAACTCCAACCTAAAGTTACCCTTCTGCTACTGTAAGCTTATACCTCTTCTTCAGTAATTAACAGTGCCAAAATTTGCTTTTGGAAATGCAAGTACTCCATATGGTCTATGTGATTTCCTTATTGTAATTAGAGTACATTGAGAAAGCACATAATCACTCACTGAGTGATGAAACACGAATAGAAGATGACTCAATAAACATTTTAAAGAATGTTTGCAAAGTGTGATTTTCAAATCTGTGTTGAACTTAAATTCCCAACTTGCTCTCTGCACAACTGTTTTTACTGACTTGCACTTTGGTATGATGCCACTGGTCTCCATTGAAGCCTTCATGAAAAGCAGTCCAGCAAAACTCATTGCTGCATTTACCATAAGGAGTCCTCCTGTTTAAATAAATTTTTTAAGATCCCATCTGGTCTTCACACCAAGAATATTGTACTTCTTCAGAACAACTGGTTTGTTAAACACAGACCTGATTAGATTTTCCTACTAGAAAATTCAAGCCAAATTGCGGCTCATCCATAAGAAGTGTCTGAGGTGGAGTATATATGTACGCCCACCATGTTGTACAACATGGCTGGTGCCATTCACAGTGTATTCTTTGTGAATGGTGCCCTAGAACTGTGCACACAGAGCCCTTGGCCCTCTGATGTGCACTTTGTAAAAATTGTTCTTGGCTTTCCTTCTTTTCCCTTCTTTATCTTTATCTTTTATTCTTTATCTTTTTTTCTCTTTATTTTTTATATTTTCATTCTGTGTACCTTTGTAAGCTGCCAGAAGTCCCTTTTGGAAGAAAGTACAGTGTAAAGTAAGTAAGGCAAAGACTCAAACCTTCATTTTCTCCTGCCATTAATGTCTTTAATTCCATCTGTGGCACCTTGTGTTTTTATCTTTATCCCTGTCAGTGGTAGTTGTTTCTTCTCAGATACATTGATGCTTGATAAGCTGGCACATCTATAAAAGCAGAATATGGTATATAGTTTATATTTGAAATGAGAGTCCAATATAGCTATAACCATATGGCTCATACAGTGAAATGTTCTTTTTTTCTTTCCCAGGGAGTTTTGAAGAAATGTACAAGAACATATGTCCAGTCCTACAACTCCCTGCCAGATTTTTTCCTCCTAAATTGTGGTTTTAGATTTCACATCATTAGCTGGACACATCTGTCTAGTATGTTTTCTTTTCACAAAAAGGAAATCTAAAGACAGATACCCAAAAGACATAGTTCTACATTACTAATTTTCTATAACAGTATCCACAATCATTAAAGTCAGGCAGAAGCCCTCCAAGTTGTGTATAGTCATTTTGGTAGTGGCCATGCATTCCCAGGGATTTGGATGAAAATAAGGAGTTCATTTTGTGTTTATTTTTTAGGCATATGTTTATGGGTAAAACTGGATTATGGGGAAGAACCTTGGAGTCAAAGGAGTAGTTTTTAAATCTCACTTCTGTCACTGTGTGACATGTATCCTGATAGAGCTTCAATTTTCTTATGTGTGAAATGAATAATATTGCCTGCCTTCCCGCCTCCCAGGGTCACTGTGAAACTTAGATGAGATCATACACATTATGAAAGTGCTTTAGAAACTTTAAGAGCCATTATAACTGCATTTCCCACTCTAGGATGAAATTAGATCACAATAACTAAGAGTGAAACACCATTTATTCAGCCCAAAACTATATATGAGAACTGTCATTCCCTCAAAATCTTTACAACTAATCCTCCAAGTCAGCCGGGGATCTGAACCCATGCGTGGGAACGAGTCACCTTGGATTCCTGCTAGTGCCCCTGTTCTTCTCTGTGGCTCACAGCATTAGTTTTCCACTGCTGCATTTGTAGTCAGTGCTCACTGATCCCATGGCCTTAGGTCCTCACAAAAGGGACATACAGTGATTCCCACATAATCACTCTTGACACCTGTCAACAGTGAAATTTTCTCATGGCATATCAAAGTGGAAAGTACACTTGTCACCCGGTTGGACTTGGGACATGACATGAGAAGGGTAGTTCAGGCTGGATGGCTGAGATGGAGGTATTCTGTAAAGCCCTACTCAAAAGGGTCTGCTCCAGTTTATGCACATTATTTAAGGTTGCCTTAGAGACCACCAGCTATGTAGTCCAATGATGAGGACCTTTGGTTCCTCTACTGTTTTGAAGCTCTGAATTCTAATCATACTGTGACTGTGTTTGAGGATCAGGATCAGCTAAGCTCTGGATGGGGGAGCCAGAGAAAGAAAAGGTGGCACCATGGTGAACAACTAGACAGCTGTATCAGACTAGTTATGCGAGTACCAAGAAACCAACTACTTCAGGAAGTTGGAGAAAATAGAAATAAGTTCAAATACAAGCTTATTCACAAGCCCTGGCTCAGAGGGGAGCACATGTGTTCTGGGCAGGTTATGGTGCTTCTCTGTTACATAAGCTATGTAAAGCAATGGTTTTTATCAGCTCTTTTTGTGGCTTTCTAGCCTCTAAAGACTCAGCATGGGAAATTTCTGATCCTAGTCATGTTGCTTTGCTAAAAAATGATCCCCTTCCCTCTAATCCATTGATTATTTGAACATGAAATAAACCCCTGCATCTCAAGTCTCTGTCCCAGAAAATGAAATCTACCCAGGAGAAGTTTCAGTCTCACTAGAACCAGGGGTATATGTCTGAAAACCATGCACACATGGCAAACACCGGTGTTTGATTTAGATTGAGCTGTTTGGGAGAGGTGAACTAGATTGAGATTATGCGCATGATGAGTTAAAGCCAACCATTGGCTCTGCCTGCCTACTTGCTCTGGTCCTCTGCCTTCGAACTGTGGCACTATACAGTTTCATCCAAAGCAGTGATTGTACTAGCAGCCATACTTTCTCAGTTACCTAGCTTCCTGTACTTGAAAAACTTTTACAAGCCCAACCCTTAGACCGCTCGCCCATCCTGACCAGCTTACAAGCCCAACCCTTAATTCTGTGGTAATTGATTTTGATTTTCAACCCCAATATAGCAAAAGTTAAAGATATGTATTTCCACCTTTATTTAATATTTAATTCAGATGTTCTGTATAATACAATAGTGAGGAAAGGAATATTCCCAGAAATTTTTTCAAATCAAATTAACACACATGTGTTGAATATTGATACACTACATGAAAATGCTATTCTATCTAAAAGCAGAACTTCAGGGCCAACACTGTGGTGTAGCAGGTAAAGCTGCCACCTGCAGTGCTGTCATCCCATATAGGCGGCTCCACTTCTGATCCATCTCCCTGCTATGGCCTAGAGGAGGAAGCTGGGATATTTCAAAACTGCCATTGAAATAGATTCCATGCAGGCCAAGTAATCAGATTATTACCATAATTTGTTGACAAAGTTTCTAGTGCTAACTAGGTTATGAGAGGACAAGTAGATTGATTAAAAACCAATAAAAAGCTCTAGATTTAATTCTATGATGACATACACATATAAACTAAAAATTGCAGAAAATATCAAGAGTAGCATGTTAGACATAGATTATGTGCCCAGAAGCAAATTTATTTTTTTAATATTTATTTACTTACTTGAAAGTCAGAGTTACACTGAGAGAGAAGGAAAGGCAGAGAGAGAGAGGTCTTCCATCCGCTGGCTCACTCCCCAGTTGGCTGCAACAGCCTGAGCTGTCCCAATTCGAAGCCAGGAGCCAGGAGCTTCATCCAGGTCTTCCTCGATGCAGGGACCCAAGGACGTGGGTTATCTTATACTGCTTTCCTGGCCATAGCAGTGAGCTGGATCAGAAGAGGAGCTGCCAGGACTGGAACTGGCACCTATATGGGATGCCAGCACTGCAGGTGGCCACTTTACCTGCTACGCCACAGTGCCCGCCCTGCAAATTTATTTAACTTAATCTTAAAAAGCAAGCAAAGAGTAAGTAAGGTGAGTTAATAATTGAAAGGAATGGGAGTATCAGGTAGAACCCAAGGTCAGAAAGTACATACGATGGCTTTGGGTGACCTAGAACCAGTAACTGAGAAGTTGAAAACCAATGTCTCATGCTATAGATCTCTTTTTAAGAGTTAACACATTCTGTTCTTCATATCTCTTTTTTTCCTCTGCTTCTCCATGAAAATAGCTGCCTAGTCCTTACCTTGAAATGAAGAGCCATGATAGACATCAATTTTGGAAGCTCAGAGTCCAGGAAGAGGGTCTCTGATTGGCCCAGTTGTGTTCAGTGCTCATCCGCTCTGCTGACCCAGGAATGACACCATGGCTCTCTTCTTGGAAACTGCTCTTTCAACAGATCCTTGGAGGAAGGAACTTCAGCAAGGCTGAATGACAGGCATAGCTTCATAAAGGCAGGGGATGGTCTAGACATGCATCACAAGAAAACCAAAAAAAGATTTTCATATTAAAATTCAATTGGATAGTGAAAAAGCAAAGAGTGTGCAGATTATTAGGGCATATTATATGATTTCAACAAGTGAGAAAAAACAGACATTTGCATTACATTTCCTGTTTCCTTCTTAGCTATCTAATTGCAGGAATGTTGAAAGTTTTATTAACACCTTAGGAGTACAATGGATTTGTTGAGGTCTTTTTTTAAAAAAATAAACCATTTTTTTCCTCACTTTTTACAAAAAAAAAAAACAGATTTATTTATTTGAAAGGCAGAGAGAGAGAGAGACAGGTGTAGAGGTCTTTAAATCCTCTTATAGCACCAGATATGAAGAACTTGCTAGATGAAATTGAGAGGAAGTACTGCAAGTAATCCAGAGGTATTAGGGAGAAAAGGGGAGATATGAGGAAACAGAAGATATGAAACTTCTTATTTTCCAAAGGGAAGAGAAAAAAATTGGTTTTAAACTCTTGACAGTGATGCACAGTAAGATCCTAGGAGAGAGCACTTAGACATACTTTAAAAAACTGTCACTGGGGCCGACTGCTCCACTTCCAATCCAGCTGTCTGCTATGGCCTGGGAAAGCAGTGGAAGATGGCCCAAATGATTGGGCCCCTGCACCTGTGTGGGAGAACTGGAGGAGGCTCCTGGCTCCTAACTTCAGATCAGCACTGCTCCGTCAGCTGCAGCAAATTGGGGAGTGAGCCAGTGGATTGAGACCTCTTCCTCGCTCTTGCTCTCTCTCTCTGTGCCTCTCCTTCTCTCTTTGTGTAACTCTGACTTTCAGATAAATAAATGTTTAAAAAAAAATCTGTCACTTAGTGCCACCATGGATCAAAGGAAAGTCACACCAGACTCTCTGCTTTATCTGAAAGAAGAGATGTGCTTACCCTAATGGACCAGCGGAGTGTGTGATACATTACTGCATCTTGATTTAATAGGATATTCGAGTAAAGTATTCAGTTCCTTGTGGTCAAAATAAAGAAATGTAGTTAAGCAGTAAAGTTAGATGAAATTTGTGAACAGAGTAATATCAGTCTTTCAGGGAGAATACATGGCTTTGAAGCACAATGTTTGACCTTCTCATGTTCATCCATATAAGCAGTAGATGAAGAGCTATAAACCATACTAATTCAGTTTTGAACATAGAAAATTGAGAGGGATGATTATATACAACAAATTACAGTCATGAAAAAGAGCAGGACCTGCTGACACAGACACCCAAGCCAACAACATAAAACTCAGCAAGTGTGAATATGGTATTTTATTCAAAACTAGAATGGGAAACATTAGGTCTAACCATAATTTGGGGAGAAAGTTTGAGGGATTTGAGAGCTAGCAATATGACATGCTGGTATAAAACTAGGTGCAATGCCAGTATAATTTTTTTAATTTTATTTATTTTAAAAGAAAAAGGAGAAATCTTCCATCTACCGATTCACTCCCTAAATGCCTGCCAATAGCCAGGGCTGGGCCAGGCCAAAGCTAGGAGCCCTGAACCCAGTCTAAGTCTCTGATGTGGGTAGCAGGAACCAAACTACTTTAGCTGTCTTCTGCTGCCTTAGAGGGTGCACAATGGCAGAAAGCTGGAATTGGCAGTGGAAATGGTGTACAAATCCAGGCACTCCAGTGTAATTTGAGGTCGTGTTTATAAAGGAATTATATCCATACTGTTTTGCCACCTTATGTTGACTAGTCCACAACAGCTAGAGAAGTCTTTTTTGGGAAATACATTGACAAAATAGAGCATACTCAGTGGTGAAGAGGAAGTTTATGAATTTCTTTTGATGTTTGTTTATTTTGCCACGTGTAATATGCTATACACAACCTACCATTGTGTATTCTCAAGAAGCTTACATTGCACCGTTCTCACCAAAGTGCATAAAAACTGAACATTTAAGTAAAATCCATTCCTCTCACTTGGTTGAATTTGAGCAATTAGGTTTAACAGTGATAATACTCCTTACATTGACAATGTGTGTGGATTTCTGAATGCTAAGTTAAAAGTTATTCTATATGTCTAACTTATTCAACCATTGGCATCAGCACCGTTCATGTAAATTCTAAACATTTTCCTACTTTTATAGTGGGAATGAGCAAAAGAGTGCTTAGATGGATGCAGGAAAGGCTCTCAGTTAATTTAAAAATAGATAAAAACTCAGTGTTTCCCAAATTGAGAATTTGTTTCTTATATATAAATAATTTTCTCTATCAGATTTAGACTGCTTTTAGAATTAAGGAAAGAAAATAAAAAATAACTCCTTATTGAGGCTGTTAATGAATGACCGAGAATGTAAGATGTAATCTTTGAAAGGAACAAAATGAGGGGCCAGTGCTGTGGCGCAGCCGGTTAACACCCTGGCTTGAAGTGCCAGCATCCCATATGGGCACCGGTACGAGTCCCGGCTGCTCCACTTCCCATCCAGCTCTCTGTTATGGCCTGGGAAAGCAGTAGAAGATGGCCCAAGCCCTTGCGCCCCTGCATCCACATGGGAGACCCGGAGGAAGCTCCTGGCTCCTGGCTTCGAATCGGCGCAGCTCCAGCTGTTGCGGCCATTTGGAGAGTGAACCAGCAGATAGAAGACCTCTCTCTCTCTCTGCCTCTCCTCTCTCTATGTAACTCTGACTTTCAAATAAATAAATAAATCTTTTTTAAAAAAAGGAGCAAGATGAATAACTTGCACACATAGTATGCAAGCGCATACACACATTGCTGTAGATTAATGATAGTATATATGGGTTGCAGGGACTTGGAGCTTACAAATATTAAATTCTGGGATCTATTGAATTAAGTTATATTTATTGATAAAGTCTTCATATCAAACTGAAGATGTTTAAAAGCATAGCTGATTCAGGGAGACTACAAGTAAATTATTGATAGGCATTTTATTTTTGGTACTGAAATCTACCTTTTTGTATTATAAAAACATTGCTCTGAAAAATTTTTATTCTGATCTTTTCCTTGACACCAGGCATCTGTCCCACATAGCTGCCATGAAAGCATTCTGTAAAATTACTCTAAGAATGATTCTGTAGCTTCAATCATTGCAAGCCTATAATCTGAATGTGAATATTTGCAATCAGGGCAGCTCTGCAATATAGCTTAACCACTGCTGTCCTTGATGTTAGAGGATTTGAAAGCTCTCTTGGAAAATGAGACGCCAGAGGGCAAAAATTAGTCATACACACACACACACACACACACACACACATATATATATATATAAAACAAGACCCATCCATTTAAATGTGACATTCTTGTTTTACTTGGCCTTCCTTCATATCAGAACTTATTACAAATTCTATACACTGAGGTAAGATAGATAATGCAAAATAAGGAGTTTTACCTCAACGCTATGCTCCTTCTTTCCTTAATAAGCCTTAATATCAGGGCTTTCTTTGAACATTGTAAGCTCTGCTTCCATGTGCTGTACCCAGTGGCTTTATCTCAAAAGAGCAAACGAGAAAAGCTGCCAAAAAGCTAAACTTTTTCAACGACCAGCATTCAGGCCGTTGGTGGCAAATGAAAGCTTGCAGCCAAAGGCAGTGCAGTCAGTGTTGGCCGACAGTGAGTGTCCTATCAGCCCTGAATTCATCCTCCTTCCTTGGGCTTTTTCTGTGCTCCCGAGGATCTCTTTTCTGTGTAGCATCCAGGGGACAGACGGCATAGTGGGCAGGTCTGGCCTGCTTACCTCCCATCTCTGCTGCCCCCTCGTGGCTCCAAGTGAGATGTGCCCTGTCTTCCCAGTTGTGTTACCCTCTTTTTATCTGCTGCTGAAAGAATCATAGCTCATTTTATATTGCTACAGCAGGATAATATTATAAATAAAAGGAATTTATTTCTCATAGTTTTGGAGGCCGATAAGTCCAGGATCTGAGGACCTTCTTGTAGTATCATACCATGATGGAATGTGGAAGGGCAGATTAACAGGCAAGAATGAGAGGAGGGAGTGAACTTCTCCTTTTAGGGAACCCATTCCTGTGATGACAGCTTTAATCCATTGATTCCACCCCCATGGTCTAATCACCCCTTATTAGCCCCCACCCCCTATACTGTTGCATTGGGGTTTGAGTTTCTAACACATAGACTGTAGGGGAGGGGATACATTCAAACCATAGCAGAGCCCTTGCTGCAGTAACTTATGATCAATTCTCCTGCTGCCCTTGGCTCAGTGGTTCCTTTCATGCCAGCCCTACTTTGGAGACCCATCTTCATTTTGACTCATCTCCACTTTGACTGTGAACCCTACTTGTCTTTGAGGTCCAGTCCCTGGCTCAACCTTTCCACCTCATAGATTCATGCGTTCCATCTTACTCTTTACTACTGTGACCTCTGGCAAGTTCTTGCTCTTCAACTCTTAAGTACTTTCCGTGTTCCTAACTTTAAAAGCATGGCGAAGCATCTTAGCTTTCTGGCTCCATCTAGAACAAGGGGAGACTGCAAAGAAGAGGTAGGAAGGGACATTGTCTCCATCCCTGTCATTTTTTCAACATAGTTTCTATTCTGCTTTGCAGCCCCTCTTCCCTGGGTAGTCTCTTCCCTAAGTTTGGAAAAGGATGTTAGGCACAAGCTCCTTTCTTCGTCTGCTTTTGTTGTATTTGTTTTCTTGTTCTTTTCAGATTTTCAGCTTCTCCCTACTAGAAGAGCTCCTGCTTCTCTCTCTTCTGTGAAATAGTAGTATCCCCTGCTGCACGGAATGTGGAGCCATGTGGTGTTGTACTTGAGAGTACCACAAAGTGGATTGTATGGTGGAGACTGGACATTATTCAGAGAAGAAAATCTGTCAGGAGGCATTTCATAATATTATCCTTAAAGCAAATAGTAAATAATTATAGAGAAAATACTAGGCATTAAATGCTGGGAACGTAGAAAAATACATAGAAAAGGTTCCTATCTTTTATGAGCTTACTCTCCTGAGCATTTTTTAGAAAAAATTCCTATGCAGGAGCTTAAAGATATATGCATAAATATCATCTAACATTATTTATAGAATCAACTGAAATGTCTGTAATGAAAGAATTTAGAATTTATGGAATAACCATACTATAGAATATTATAAAATAATTTAAAAGAATTAAATAAATCTCTACATACTCACCTAATATATGTTATATATACATGCATACATGTCTGCAAGAATATAAACACAACCAGCTATTAACAGTGATTTTCTGTAGTAGGTGAGAATTGACAGTTGGAGAGGCGTAGGGAGGAAATATTCACCCTTATAAAATTCTGTATTTGAATTTTACACAGCAAGTTGTGCACTAATTTTGTAATTTTTAAACAAAGAAAAGAAAAATATATACCATGAATTGTTACTGGCATATAATCTAGTATATATTTTTATTGTTATTTCTAAACCATATAGGTGAGAAGAAATGGAAAAAAATGGGCAACACATTCTATTCTATCTTCTTGTCCTGTGCAAGATCTTCAGTCAGTCTATATGTGGAGTTCCCTAGGACGAGGAAAGTGTCACTTATGGATTTCCTCTCTTGCCTTCACTCAACGCTCTGTTTCCTTCAGTTCCTGTTTTTAACTCCTTCCTATCTCCCATTCAAAGTTCCTGTTTTGCCTGTTTCCTACAACTTGCCATCTCCTGTCTTGGAAATCCTCAAGTCCCAAATCTCCTTCTGTATTTTAAATATTCTCACTAGTTATGGTGTAAAGCAAAATTGCTGCAAAACAAAATTTCTACCCACTTCTGCTGCTTTCTGCCTAATGATTAGAGTCAAAGGAAGAAAGCTTGCCTAAATCTGCATCCAGATTAATTTGTTTTCTTGGGATTATTATCCCCACTCATCTCAAATTAGACATGCCTTGCTCTGCCTGTGTTCTTACAAGATCTGCACTTCTCTAGCAGTGTATTTTTGAACTTGTTATTCTGAAGGAACATTTGGACACTCTTAATTTTGGATTATGCTTGAAAGTCTTCTCAAAATCATGGTTATATGAGACTCACTGATCCTTGCCTGGCTCCTTGAGTCTATCAGGCCCTGTTCTGGTTTCTTCCAGTTAGGAAAACGCTTCTAGCCACTTTTTTCCTGCTATAGTTGTTTCAGATAGTTTTGTATAGAAGAGCTTCTTTAGCCAATTCGCTTCTTTAGCCAATCTAAAAGTCCTAAACAATATTAGAACTTTTTTTATTCATTTAACAGTAAGTTTTTAAATGTCTACTAAATGTCTTGAGTCAACTAGCTTAATTTTTATGAATATTTAACGATATTAAAACAAGACAGCTTTCAAACACAATAACAAAGGGGTTTAGTCACAGCAAATGGAATAGATTAGCACCAAAATCTCCATTTTCAAAAAGGAAAATAAACTGAGATCTAAATCAGGAAGAAAAAAAAAATCCCTGAGCACTGTGAACAATATCTTGAGTTTTCTCAGCATACATTAGTTCATTTTATCACATTGTAAGTGTTGGTTATGAAGTAGCTTTATCTAAGTATACATTATTCATATCAGCTTCTCCTATTTCACATTTCTGTTAACATAGAAACAGCTGTATTTCATTCACTTACCTTGGTTAAATCACTAATATTTAATCCAATGAGAAAATCCAGTCACAGTAAGTTTGGACCCAGGCATTGTGTATGACCCCTAAATAAATATGATGAAATTTTCTTTTGCAGATGCAAATATTGGCATTATGATGAAAACCTTCTCACTTCAAGTGTCGTCATTGTCTTCCATAATGAAGGGTGGTCAACACTCATGAGAACAGTCCACAGTGTAATTAAAAGGACTCCAAGAAAATATTTAGCAGAAATTGTGTTAATTGATGACTTCAGTAATAAAGGTAATTCGAAAAATGTGATTTCAAAATAATTTTTAAAAATTAATAGCTAGCGGCCGGTGCCGCGGCTCACTAGGCTAATCCTCCACCTTGCGGTGCCGGCACACCAGGTTCTAGTCCCGGTTGGGGTGCCGGATTCTGTCCCGGTTGCCCTTCTTCCAGGCCAGCTCTCTGCTATGGCCCGGGAGTGCAGTGGTGGATGGCCCAAGTCCTTGGGCCCTGCACCCCATGGGAGACCAGGAGAAGCACCTGGCTCCTGCCATCTGATCAGCGCGGTGCGCCGGCCGCAGCGTGCCAGCCGCGGCGGCCATTGGAGGGTGAACCAATGGCAAAGGAAGACCTTTCTCTCTGTCTCTCTCTCTCACTGTCCACTCTGCCTGTCAAAAAAAAAAAAATGTAATAGCTAGCATCTGTCATCATCATCAACAGGTTGGCACTGTGCTAAGCATTATAGATGAATTATTTTGTTTGATCCTGATAGTAATCCTTAGAATACATATTGTTGTTATCTCCATTTTATATCTAAGGCTCAGAGATATTAAGTAACTGGCCAATAGTCACAGAGTGTTAAGAGCTGTATCAAAACTGATAAGATCATGTATCTGTATCTTTTTTTTTTTTTTTGACAGGCAGAGTTAGAGAGAAAGGTCTTCCTTTTTCCGTTGGTTCACCCCTCATTGGCCTCTGCGGCCAGCATGCTGTGGCCAGCGCACCGCGGCTGACACACCGCGCCGATCCGAAGCCAGGAGCCAGGTGCTTCCTCCTGGTCTCCCAAGCGGGTGCAGGGCCCAAGCACTTGGGCCATCCTCCACTGCATTTCCAGGCCATAGCAGAGAGCTGGCCTGGAAGAGGGGCAACCGGGATAGAATCCAGCGCCCCAACCGGGACTAGAACCCAGGGTGCTGGTGCCGCAGGCAGAGGATTAGCCTAGTAAGCCGTGGCGCCGGCTTTGTATCTGTGTCTTTAACCACTGTGTTATACTGAATCCTTTCTTTGGGGCTTGAATTTTGTAAAAAATTGAGTCACATCAAGAAACAGTTTTTTGAAATCCTGAAAAACTGCAATTGCATGTATTTTGTGATGGCTTCTGAAATTCCATCCAGCCTTCAAACTGAAATCCATATACATATTTCATAGTCTATATTTAATATTTGAATAATGATACAGATATTAAATTGAAAAGGAAGCCATGAACTAGTTTTATTTAAAATAGAAAGCATCTTCTAAAGTGTATTTTGTTTGTATTTTACCAAGAGTATTGAATAAAATAAAATTCTAAAGAACTAGCTCTTACAACAGTTAGGCATTGTTTAGTCTTGGTTCCACTTGCCACAGGGTGATTAAACAGTGATTTTACAAGATTAAGGTGTCTGTGAAGTTTACTTATTTTTTTCTTTAGATATTACTGATATATTGAAAGTATGTTCTTAATTATATAAATACCTAATACTGTAGTTCAGATCCTAAGCACATTAAGTAAAAATGTAATTGCAGTTCTAGAACCCAAATCTAGATATTTATTTATCCTTCTTTGCTTGTCACAAAACAGAATTGAAACTTTTGAAAACTGACCAAAGAGCTCAGACTGCTTAATGACAACAGGGTGTTTGTGTTCTGGTAAATAAGGTCTGTGGTGAATTTCTGTGTACAAGTGGTGATACCACTAAGTATATGGGTAGCATGCCAATTTGTTTCAAAACGTCTTCATAAAAGCTTCCTGTCTCCAAAATTTAATTAGCACTCTTATAGTCTAGATAAACCTTTGCTGTTTTTGAAAGGACGTGACTAGAATCTTGATCATGTACACTTAACGTTAGTGTGTAGAAGAATTAGGGAGATGGGATATTTTCTTTTCTTTTCACCTTGATGCAGCTGATTACTTTCTTCAGCTCGTTTTAAGTGACAAGAGAATGTATAGCATTAAATTTTTAGGCAAATCAAATGCTTCTAGCTTCGACATTTTATTTTGGTTATAATTTTCATGACAAGAATGTTTTCATAAAAATATTCTATCTGTCTCAAGATAAATGTTTAAAAATATGATTTTAAGTTATATTGTTGGTACCAGTAATATTGTAGATTTAGAGAAGTCTTAATCCACAAAATAATTGAGAAATCTGTCTGTTATTGTGTTGGCTTTAAGAACACCTATACTATTTTTGTACTTTAAAAGAATTTAACAATAATTGTACAGATTTATGGGGCAATAGTGTGATATTTCAATACATCTATGTAATATCTACAGATGAAAACAGGATAATCAACATTTTCCCTTCTCTGATATAATGTTGGAGTCTTGGAACTTCTGTCCTCATAAAGTAGGTTATTGTGAAGTATAGTCTTCCCATCATGCTGCATGACACTAGGAACTTAGTTCTTTTAACTGACTTGCATTTGGCACCCATTTTCCAAACTCCCTCTATCTCCTTCACACCCTCCAACCTCTAGTACTTATGATTTTGTGTTCAAAATTAGTTTTTTTTATTTTTTAAATTTACTAGGGTGATTATTGATGCCATAAACAAGAGTGTCAGTTGTTAAATCAACAACGGGAGTCACTGTGCACTTACTCCCCATGTAGGACCTCTGTCCTTAATTTGTTGTACTATGTGAATCAATGGTATAACTAGTACTCAAACAGTACTTTACACTTTGTGTTTCTGTGTGAGTGCAAACTGTTGAAACCTTTACTTAATATATACTAAATTGATTTCCTGTATATAACGATAATTGAAAATGAATCTTGATGTGAATGGGATGGGAGAGGGAGCGGGAGATGGGAGGGTTGTGGGTGGGAGGGAAGTTAAAGGGAGGGAAAAAGCCACTGTAATCCAAAAGCTGTACTTTGGAAATTTATATTTATTAAATAAAAGTTTTAAAAAAAAGAAAGAGCTACACAGAGAGTGTGAAAGACACAGAGATAGAGAGAGATCGCTCTTCCATCCACTGGTTCATTCCCCACATGGATGCAACGGCCTGGGCTATGCTAGGCTGCAGCCAGGACCTGGAACTTCATACAGGTTTCCTATGTGTATGCAGGGTCCCAAACACTTGGGGAATCTTCCTCTGGATTGGAAGTAGAGCAGCCAGAACACGAACTGGCACCCATATGGGATGCCAGCATTGCAGGCAGTGCTTTTTATTTTTTAAAATATTTATTTATTTTTTTGAAAGAGTTACAGAGAGAGAAGGAGGGAAGGAGGGAGAGAAGGAAGGAGGAAGGTAGTAAGAAAGAGAGAGTGAATCTTCCATCCACTGGTTCATTCCCCAAATGGCCACAATGGCCAGGGCTAGGCCAGGCTAAAGCCAGGAGCCAGGAGCTTCATCTGGCTCTTGCACAGGGGTGCAGGGGCCCAAGCACTTGGGCCATCTGCTGTTGCTTTCCCAGGTCATTATCAGGGAGGTGGATCAGAAGTGGAGCAGCCAGGACTCGAGCTAGAGCCCACTTGGGATGCTGGCACTGCATGCAGTAGCTTTACCCACTATACCACAGCGCCCACCCCTCAGGCAGTGGCTTTGCTCACTACTCCAGAACACTAGCCCCCAGAATGAGTTTTTTTTTAAATATTAATACAGGTAAAATTTTAACATATCCAAAAAAATTAGTGAAGACACATCAAAGATGTTTGCCATCCTTAAATAACTACATAGACCAAGACAAGGAGAATGGAATTTTGAGGCTGAAGATTTTTGTGCCTTTTACTCTAGTATTGTTGAGATGGGTTTTATCACAGATTTCCAGTATTCAGTTCCCTGTGGCATGAAATAAAGGCAGTCATGCAGAGTCTGCTTAGCTTAGAGTGTGTCGAGACAATTGGTCTTCCCTTGAACAGAAGTACAGAAGATCTTTAGTTGGTATTACCAATTTTAAAACTGTCACAGTCTTAGCCTCAGTAAAATTAGGTAGTGTTTGCTAATCTGAGTTCAGTGAAAATTTGGTTTGTATTTATTCAGAAACTAAAACTCTGAACTTAACAATTTCTCATTTAGAGACAAAATACTTCACTATATAAAACTTTATAAAAGAACTAACTGCTCATAATAACACTTAGGTTTCTGGAAATTACAGTGTCTCTCTGAACAAGATTTGGAGCCTTTAAATATAGTATACTCCTCCACACACATGTGCATCAGCCTGCCGAGGCCAAGTCAGGCGGAGGTGAAGCACAAGCCCACGCTGGTGTCGGCTTACACATTATCTCCTGCTCAAACTTCATGTTCCCTGGGGGACAATTGTGGCTCTGCGCCCCATCTTCTTCACTTCATGGCCCAGGCTTACAGAGCAGTCTCCACTCAGAAAGCAGCTGGATAGGGCAGAGGGAAAGAAGAGATGTAGTAACAATGTAAGTTAGCCTCCTAACATTTCTGCTCACAAGTGACCCCCATCATTTCTGCCCACAAGTCACATGGTTCAGTCTGATGACAGTGGGATGAGGAAAGATAATCTTCCTCCAAAGAGAGCAGCGACTGTTTGAACCCTAATACAGTGTACCGCAGCGTGAGATTCCAGAGATTCTCAAAGAAGTCAGAAATCATTGGATGCACCACTTTGCCTTTTGGACCATCCTAACTAAGAATCTAAATTTGAAGAACAAGTCATCAACTCATTACTGTCTGTAAAAAATGTATTCCAGATGTGTTTACCTTGCATATCCAAAATAGCATCTGATGGAATTCTGAAAGACTTTTTAAAAAATAATTTAGGACTATATTAGACTTTAAAAAAGAAAAAGGCTTTCTGAGAAAAAGTATTATTAGGTTGAGAATTTTATTTATAATACTAATCATTAAGCCTGAGTGTTGGGGAGGTCATTTAGCCTAGCAGTTAGTATATCTGTGTCCCACCCACATCAAAATATTTAGATTCAACTCCTGCATGTAGCTCCTGATTCCAGCATTCTGCTAATATAGACCATGGGAGGTAGTGGAGATAGCTGAAGTAATTGAGTTCCTACACCCATGTGGGAGACCTGGATTGAGTTCCTGGCTCTAGCTTTGTCCAGGCACAGTCCCTGCCATCATGTTTGGGGAGTGAACCCGTGGATGAAAACAGTCTTTCTGTCTGACTCTCTCTCTCTCTTTCTCTCTCTCTGTCCCTCACGCCCTCTCTTTTTTTTTTTTCTCCCTCACTGCCTCTCAAATAAAATTTTATAATATAAGAAACAACATGTTTTAATATATCTTAAAGCCTCACCTACCGAAGTCATCATTTATTTGTTTACAGGAATATTTGATTATTCTTAGGGTAACCACTTCTCTGTAAGCATATTAAACTCAAATTTTAATTTAAATAATATACATCAGGTTCAATTCTCAGTCAATTAAGCATTCAGTGTAGCCCATGTAAAATTATTGACTGCTCAGTGTGCTGTTTTCTGTACTTTTTTTTTTTTAAGAGAGAGAAAGAGAGAGAGATCGATCTTCCATTTGCTGGTTCATTCCCCAAATACTCACACTAACCAGAGCTGGGCCATGCCAAACCAGGAGACTGGACTTTCATTTGAGTCTGTCACTCCCAACTACTTGAGCCATCTCTGCTACCTTGCAGGATACATTAGGAAGTTATATTGGAAGCATAGTATCCAGGACTAGTACCTGACATGCTGATATGGGATGCCAGTGTCCTGCAGCTTAACTTGCTGTGCCACAATGCCTACTTCCTATTCTTGTTTCTTGAGAAAAGTAGTAATTAATAAGTTTATATATAAGTCTAATTTTTAATGTTGATTGAACTTTTTTTATTCATAGAACATTTAAAAGAAAAACTAGATGACTATATTAAGATGTGGAATGGCCTAGTAAAGGTATTTCGAAATGAAAGAAGAGAAGGTTTAATTCAAGCACGAAGTATTGGTGCTCAGAAGGCTAAACTTGGACAGGTAGGAAGCATTTAATATCTACCATGTCAACCATGTCTGCCATTTGACAACTAAAAATTCATATACATTTTTAATCACCCTTTAGGTTCTTTTTTTAATTGAAATGAATGAGATGCTGGGCTAAACAAGTTATTTATCAAAATGGACTATAAAGCTAATTTTAAAATTAGCATCTAATTTTAAATTGTGTGTAATATATGATGTACCATATTTGAGGAGTATTCTTTCACCCTGCCTCTTTTTTTTAAGGTTTTGATATACCTTGATGCCCACTGTGAGGTGGCAGTTAACTGGTATGCACCACTTGTAGCTCCCATATCTAAGGACAGGTAACATGACCTTGCTTTTATTTTTTTCTTTCCTAGTTGAAAAATTAAAGCTTGTCCTAGAAGGATGAATAATATTCTCATTCTTTAATTACAGTTACATTTAGTGCATCAAGTGTTGTGTTTGAACTGTATATTTCAGCTAATTATTTTCCTTGGGTGGAGCTAGCCTGAAGCTTTGGTCTGATTCACAGTCATGCAGTCTGCCATTTGGGAGAAAGCTAGGATATCCCATTTGACAACTGTTTTGTGATTGAGTTATTGAGACTTACTCTATCCACAAAAATTTCCTCTTAAGACTAATGTTAATTGCTTCTTCTAAAATGGGATGAATTCCAAAGATTTGAAGAAGCATGCTTTGAAATTGTACCTATTAGTTTTTGTGCCCTTCACAATTATTAGTTTAGATAGTAAGGACCAGCTGTTACTTACATCAAGCTTTGGATTCTGCAAAAACTTTTAAGTTTAGAAATAGACAAATATTCCATGTGGTTATGAATAGAAATGTGCTGATCACTGTTAAATTTCTAGAAGTGTCTGAAACAACAGAAGGTTGCATCAATCTCCTAGTTCCAAAACTCTTCCTTGCTTTCTGTCTTGAATTCTGACTATTTCAGAATCTAGGAAAATGAAACATATGTCAGTGGTAAATGGTGTGAGTCAGAGGCAGAACTTTGGGAGATCTGGTCATCAGAGGATTTGATATGAAGGCCTGTCGTAAATATTTTTCACATGCTTACTTAAGCCTCACGGCAACCCTGCGAAACTGGGAGTTCCATCTTACTGAAAATGATTTTGAGGTTTAGAGAAATTAAGTAATTTTCCCCAAATCTGGTAACCAATAAACTGTCAAACCAAGGTCTCTCTAGGATACTGCACACTGTACTGCTGATTTAGAAATATGAAAATTCTAGAAGTGAGGAGAGAGAACGTACCAGGTATCAGGTAGCTCTCCCCAAGTGAACAGTCCTGGCAGTCCTCTGGGCAGCAAAAAAGTGGTTTTCTGCAGAATCCAGTGGCAACCCCATGTACCACAATGACCCTACATGATCCATTCAACCTCTGGAGGGAATGGAACACCTTTCTAGAATCTACTTCTACAGTATCACATTTCTAAGCCCCATATGGTTTTTGCCCTTTTTCTAAACATCTTGGTTTTCAGACTTCTAAAGAACACCATAACCCACTTATGAAAAGTTGCAATTTTCACTTTAGAAGAAACATTTTGTAAATCCTTTCTAGTGAGACAAGCATTATCTGTGTAATGTCAGCTTTCCATTCAATCAGTTATACAAGGCTAACGTCATGAAGTCTAAATACAAGGGAATTTTTTTTTTTTTTGCTTCAAATTCTGAGTTCATTTCTTAAGAACTTATACAGGTTTTGAGGGATTTTTGGTTTTGCTTATTTTTTTAAAAAGGAATCATAGCATAATATATTTTATTTTGAGAATTAAAAGTAAAAGTACAGAAGCATAGTTTCATAATAACTGTTTCTGCAGAAATAGAAAGCAACAGTGTTACAGAACTGCTAAGGATATGGCAAATACTATCAGTACACATACACACACACATATTCACTCGTTTTAATGAGAGAAAAGGGAAATTACAGGCAGGAAATTCTTGTAAATAATATAAAATTACCAAGAGTAAGATTCCCTGGAGTGTTAAAGTGAAAAAGAGTAAACACTACTAAGCTCAATGACATGACTCCTTGTCCCTGATGTTTATCTGTTTGCCTAGAGGAAAGTTTCCTCTAGCAAGAACAGACTTCTTGGCTTTTCTGGGACATTCATTTACTCTGTTTCCCATTAGATATTAAAATCCCTTAGCACAAAAACAAATCAACAACAAAAACATATGATGTAGTTAGGCATTCTAAACTAGTCAGTTTTTGGGTTCTTAAATGCTTTTTCATTTTCTGTGAATGTTTCAGAACTACATGTACTGTGCCTCTAATAGATTACATAGATGGGAATGATTATTCCATTGAACCACAGCAAGGTGGGGATGAAGATGGTTTTGCCAGAGGGGCCTGGGACTGGAGTTTACTATGGAAACGTATCCCTCTAAGCCACAAGGAAAAGGCCAAAAGAAAACATAAAACTGAACCTTATCGGTAATGATTATTTATTTTTTTTTATGTTGAATGTTTACCTAAGGACTTTTTCTTTTCCTTCCCCATGAACTCATATAACTATGTGGGCCCATACATACGTTTCCGTTTGATCTTTGCTGCCATCATCAACATAATACAGAACCATTTGCACTGTGCCGCTTATAGATGTCATAAATGGCAACACATATGAAATTGTACCCCAAGGGGGTGGTGATGAAGATGGGTTTGCCCGAGGTGCATGGGATTGGAGTATGCTCTGGAAACGGGTGCCTCTGACCTCTCAAGAGAAGAGACTGAGAAAGACAAAAACTGAACCATATCGGTAATCACTAAATCACTTACATATTTTTCTTTTCTTCAGGTGTGCTAACTTACTAACCTCTGGCCAAGCTGAAATTTTGTATTTAAAACTATAGATGCTGTCTCCGATTCTGAAAGAGCTTCTTTCTCTACACTATTTGAGAGCTTCTAATTCACATTTGCTTCTTTTTAATTGCTTTACCATAAATGCAAGTTCTATTACTGAGAATTCCACTCTTTCAGTGGGAAAAACATAGAAACACTGGTTCTAAGTACAAGTGAAAAATAGGAAATTTTGCTATCTTGCCATAGTAGATGAGACCATAATAGATATACCAAATTATGTTGTTTTGATGGTTAGTGTCATTCTATAAATTTAAAATACCTAAATTACATACAATCCAAGACTCTTATTTCTGTTTTGATACCTTGGGTATAATGTTAACAATGAAAGACACTAGCTCTTTTTTTCTTTTTAAGATGTATTTATTTATTTGAAAGAGTTACACAGAGAGAGGGGAGGCAGAAAGAGAGAGAAAGAGAGAAAGGTCTTCCATCCAATGGTTCACTCCTCAACTGGCCGCAGTGGCTGAAGCTGCGCCGATCCAAAGCCAGGAGCCAGGAGCTTCTTCCAGGTCTCCCACGCGGGTGCAGGGGCCTATTGACTTGGGCCATTTTCCACTGCTTTCCCAGGCCATAGCAGAGAGCTGAATGGGAAGTGGAGCAGCCAGGACTTGAACCGGCGCCCATATGGGATGCTGGCACCTCAGGCCAGGGCATTAACCCACTGCGCCACAGCGCTAGCCCCTATATGCTAACTCTTAATGCTAATTTTGTGCCTGTTGAATCTGATAAATAAAAATAAATGACTTTAGAAAATGTTACAAATAATTTCTTGCTTCATTCGCAGAAGATGCTTGATTAAAAGAAAACTGTATCCCCAAATCAGATTTTGTCCCTTCTCGTGGTTTTTTAAGTAGAATAGTTTATGTCACTTCCTCTTTTGATATTTTTGTTGGAACATTTCACCGTCTTTATAAAAGTGAGCCCAAATGAAATGTTTGCTCAGATGTTACTGTAGCCTTTTCCTGAATGTGTCTAATTTTTTGTGTCTGATGCTATGGTTCTGCTTTTGGTCTCTCTCTCTCCCTGTTATACTGCTGATAATGTGAGAAGTCTGTTGGGAAGGTGCTTCTAATATCATGGAAATGCTTATATAGTCTGGGCATCTCATGATATCCAGATACTGAATGGCAAACATGAAGAAATTATAAAAGTTTGAGTTTTTTGGGGCATTTTCCAAATTTTCATTTGAAAATCTCTTATTCAGAATATTCAGGAATCTGCTGTTTATCTGGTTAAATTTGCCTAACAAGTAATACTAAGAGAAAAAAATTAAAGGGTGCTGAGGGCATTTATATTTCTGCTAATTCCAACAGCTAGTCAGGAAATTTTTTTAAATGAGCTAGAAAGATTTAAGGAAAGCTCCCCTTTGATTAACTCACAAGTTTCCATGTTAAGATGTATTTTCAAATATATACCAAGATGAATGAGAATATATTTAAAGATCAAAAAGGCACAGTTACAGTGGAGTAATTTTGAATGACAGTTAAATAAATGTGACATGAAAGTATAATAAAAAATGTAATAGTGCTGTTGAATGAGTTAGGCCATGTACTTTAAGATATGAGAAAATGACTTTCTCCTGGTGTGAAAATATTACTTGACTCAGTATTTATGCACTCAACAAATACTTATTGAGTACTTACAATGTGCCAGGTACTATTCAGAGGAAGATAAATGTAAAAAGATATGTTCTCTCATGCAACTTAAAATATAGTGAGACAAAAATGGAACAGATAGCTGCACAAATAACTGAAACAACAGCTACAACAAATAATATGAAGAACAATCATAGACACATGGAGCTTATGGGAAGGAGAAACTAATGCAGCAAGGAACATCAGAAAGAACTTTCTTACAAAGTGCCATTTAGGCTGATAGCTGTAGGATGAAGAGGAAACCATGTGGAAAAGGAGAAAGAATATTTCAGTAACATGAGTAGCATAAGTAAAGACCCAAGACAGAGGTGAGCTTGGTGCATTCCAGGCAAGCGCAAAGCAGTGAAGAACTCATGGGGAGAGAAAACCAGGTGAGGTGAGAGAATGAGGAGAGCCGTTCATGCAAGGCCCCTGTTCTGGAGTCTGCTTTGGCTGCTGTGTGATGAGACGTGGGTAGGAAGAAAACAGGAAAAAGGACACCAATTCTAAGAGATATTACAGAGTCCAGTGTTTGTATGCTTGTCCCAGTGTGCTAGCAGTAAAACTGAAAAGAAGTAGACAAATTCAAAACAGATTTTCAAAGTAGAATCAATAGGACTCAGTGACAGATTGACTACTATGTATAACGATGAAGAAGATACCCCAACAGTGTTAAGTACCCTAAGACTTAAGAATCATGATGCATTAATAACTAATGATTCCCAAGAAGGAATGATAGTTACTCCTCAAACATTTTTCCCAATGGGAAATAACCTGTCCCTAAAAAGCTACCAAAGTAATCTTTTTGTCTGTTGCCCCTAAAAAGTACCCAATTTAAGATGCATTCAAGAAGCACTACAGATCACCTACTTGCATTCCTACCTCCCTGTATAGTAAATAGCTGTGTCTAATTCTCCTGTGTCATTTCTGTGCTACGTTTGCAAATTCTGAATGAACTGTGGCTGTTCTGTGATTTGGCAAGCCCCTGAGCTATAAAATTAAAAAATGACAGACTACTTCCATGGTGTATAGTTTTGTTCATCCCAGAATGACTCATAAATCATTATAGGAGCAGGTAGCGGACCACAGCTCTATGACTCAGTGTTTTCAGGAATGCAAGAGAAGAGTATCACTGAGACTAAAGCAGAATCTTTATCAACAAAGGAACCTAGGTGCCCTCTAATGGCAAAAGGACATAATGCTCCAACTTACAATGAATCTTAATTTGCTTTCAGTTAGAAATTGTGGTGAGTTCAGTAATTATGAACAGACTGTTTTGTGAAGGCTTTTTAATTTCTTGGTGTTTGGCCATCAGTTTTGTCTTCTCTATGCATTATTTAGGCTGTGTTCCAAAGGCTTATTGTCTGTTGGTGAAGGGGTGTTGGGGGTTTGTCTTGAATGGTTTTTGCAGTGTTTCTTTTCTTTAGGTCCCCAGCCATGGCTGGTGGATTATTTGCCATCGAACGAGACTTCTTCTTTGAACTGGGTCTGTATGATCCAGGTCTCCAGATTTGGGGAGGTGAAAACTTTGAGATCTCATACAAGGTAACATTTCACTTAAACAAATGCAGTTTTCTATGTAGTAACAGACTTTTGTGACTTTCTGATAGAGCTAGTTATTTCTAAATGTAAAACAATACCTACAATGTCCTAAACAGCACTCTGGCCTCAGAATCAGCCCTTAAGGCATTCAGATCTAGCTAAAAAGCCCATGAGAGTTTCTCAGGCATGGAAAGCCAAGACACCATGGCTAAAATGACCTAAAAGAAAGATCTCTGTGAGTGATATCCTGGTTGAAAGAACAGGCCATCAAAGAGGGAGGTACCTTTCTCTGAAGGGAGGAGAGAACTTCCACTTTGATTATGGCCTTGTCTAAATAAGGTGGAGTTTCTGAACTCAAGAGGCTTCCATAGCCTTGGCAGCTCATGACAAGAGCCTCGGGTGATCACTGACATCATAAATAAGAGTGTCAATTGTTAAATCACAGGAGTCACTGTGCACTTACTCCCCATGTAGGACCTCTTTCCTTAAAGTGTTGTACTATGAGAATTAATGGTAAAAATAGTTTTCAAACAGTTCTTTATACTTTGTATGTCTGTGTGGGTGCAAACTGTTGAAATATTTACTTAGTATAGTATAGAGTTGATCTTCTGTATATAAAGATAATTAAAAGTGAATCTTAATGAAGAATGGGATGGGAGAGGGAGTAGGAGATGGGATGGTTTGCAGGTGGCAGGGTGGTTATGGAGGAAAAACCGCTATAATCCAAAAGTTGTACTTTTGAAATTTATATTTATTAAATAAGAGTTTTCTTTCAAAAAAAAGAAATCTTAAAAAAATTTTTAAAAAAAGAAGCCAGTTAGGAGGTTATTACAATAATCACCTAGGTAGGAAATATATTAGCAATGGAAGCAATGAGTGATGTTAGGAGTGAAGAATCTGAGTACTTTGCAAGGTTTTATCAAGAAAGGGTTGTTAAGCACTGCATGTGTTCAGGAAGAGGCCCCCTAGTAGCAGTTGATTGCTATATTCCTTATTGCCTTCTTTATTACTATATGAGTTTTTAAAACAAGTAGATTATGTTAGGAATTTGTTTCATCTATGAATTCCATGTGGACTAATTTGTTTCTATTTTGGATTTTAGAATAACATTTACAGGACAAATTTTCCATTACAATTTATGTTTGCATTTGAAACAACTTCCAAAACATGTGTTTTTCTTTGATAGATATGGCAGTGTGGTGGCAAATTGTTGTTTGTCCCTTGTTCTCGTGTTGGACACATCTATCGTCTTGAAGGCTGGCAAGGAAATCCTCCACCTGTTTCTGTAGGGTCTTCCCCAACTCTAAAGGTGAGGTGTTTTTTTTTGACTGAAAGTGGAGAAGAATAGAGAACTAACATTTATGTACCACATGCTATAGTAGTTGCATAACAAATGTCAGCTCATTGACTGGGGTAAATCTCTTAAGCCATCACCTTAAACCTAGGCTGAACTTCTTCATGAAATATCTTAAAATTAGTCATTGTACTCATTCTTTTTTGTATGTTTTTAACTCACAAGTAAAAGTTATAAGTATTTATGGTGTACAATAATATGTTTTGAGATGTGTTATAGAAATCAAGCTATTTAACATACATGTATCATGTGTTATAGAAATCAAGCTATTTAATATACATGTATCATATACTGACTACAATTTTGTGAGAATATTTAGAATTTACTATTAGCAGTTTTCATATATACAGTGTATTTTTATTTATTAACTGTAGTTACCATAATGTGCAATAGATCTCCTGGATGTATTCTTTCCTGTCTAACTGAAATTTTGAGTCTTTTGACCAGTATCTGCCCAGCCCCACCCTCACCCCTTAGCCACTGGTTACCACCATTTTACTCTGTATTTCTATGAGTTTGATTTTTTTACATTCACATATAAGTGAAATCATGTAGTATTTGTCTTTATATGCCTGATTTATGTCATTTAAAATGATGTCCTTGTGGTTTTTTTAATATTTATTTGAAAAATGGAGTTACAGAGAGGGAGAGAGGCAGAGGCAGAGAAACAGAAGTCTTCCATCCACTGGTTCACTCCCCAAATGGTCACAATGGCCAGAGCTGGGCTGATCTAAAGCCAGGAGCCAAGAGCTGCTTCTGGGTCTCCCACGTGGATTCAGGGGCCCAAGGACTTGGGCCGTCTTCTGCTGCTTTCCTAGGTACATCAGCAGGGAGCTGGATCAGAAGTGGAGCAGCCAGGACTTGAACCAGTGCCTATATGAAAAGCGGGTACCGCAGGCAGCAGATTAACCTGCTGGGCCACAGTAGCAGCCATGATGTCCTTAGTGTTTAAGACTGAATAGTGGCTGGTGCTGCGGCTCAATAGGCTAATCCTCCACCTGCGGCGCCAGCACACAGGGTTCTAGTCCTGGTCGGGGCACCGGATTCTGTCCCGGTTGCTCCTCTTCCAGTCCAGCTCTCTGCTGTGGCCCGGGAGTGTAGTGGAGGATGGCCCAGGTCCTTGGGCCCTGCACCCGCTTGGGAGACCAGGAGGAAGCACCTGACTCCTGGCTTCAGCTCGGCACAGCACACCAGCCGCAACGTACCGGCCGTAGCAGCCACTTTGGGGGTGAACCAACGGAAATAGGAAGACCTTTCTCTCTGTCTCTCTGTCTCTCACTGTCTAACTCTGCCTGTCAAAAAAAGACTGAATAGTATTCTGAAATGTATGTATGTATGTATACATGTATGTATGTATGTGTGTAACTAGTAATAGGATTACTGAATCATATGGTAGTTATATTTTTTGTTTTAAAAATATTTTATTTTTGAAATTTTTGATTAACATGTAATACTCATATATTTTTATACAGTATAGTACAATGGTACAATGTTTCAACACATACACAACATAAACTGATCCAACCTGGCACTTAGCCTTTCCATTTCCATTTCCTTTTCTTTGAGCTTGGAATCTACAGCTATATTAATGTAAACTGTAGTCACCTCCACTGTGTTATGGAGCACTAGAACTTGTTCTCTCACTGTATTTTGTTACCCACTATCCAACCTCTTTTCTATTCTTTTCTTTTCTTTTTTATATTTATTTGACAGGTAGAGTTATAGACAGTGAGAGAGAGAGAGAGACAGAGAGAAAGGTCTTCCTTCCGTTGGTTCACTCTCCAAATGGCCACCATGGCCGGCGCTGTGCTGATCCGAAACCAGGAGCCAGGTGCTTCCTCCTGGTCTCCCATGCGGGTGCAGGGCCAAAGCACTTGGGCCATCCTCCACTGCCCTCCCGGGCCACAGCAGAGAGCTGTACTGGAAGAGGAGCAACCGGGACTAGAAACCAGCGCCCATATGGGATGCTGGCGCCGCAGGTGCAGGATTAACCAAGTGAGCCACAGCGCCAGCCCCCAACCTCTTTTCAAAACCCCTTCCAACTCACTAGGAATCACTATTTAAAGTTCATATTGACATTTTTTTTCCTACTTCCACCTATGAAAAAGAATGTGTGGCGTTTGTCTTTTGTATCTGGCTTATTTCACTTAACATAATAATTTCCAGTTCCATCTATTTTGCTGCAGATATCAGGATTACATTACTTTATGGATGAATCATATTCCATTGTGTATATAGGCAATATTTTCTGTATCTATTCATCCATCAGGGAACACCTCAGTTGATTCTGTACCTTTGCTATTGTGAATAGTGCTAAAATGAACATGGTAGTGCAGGTATGCCTTTCATACTGATTTCATTTCCTTTAAATATATACCCAGAAATAAGTTAGCTTGGTCATATGGTAGATCAATTTTTTTATTTTTTTAGGAACCTCCAAACTGTTCTCTCTATGGCTATCCTAATTTGTATTCCTGCCAGCAGTATATAAGAGTTCCCATTTATCCCTATCCTTGCCAGCATTTGTTTTGTTTTGTCAAATTGATAATAACCATTCTAACTGGAATAAGATGATACCTCACTGTGGTTTGGATTTCCATTTCCCTGAAGGTTTGTGATACTGAGCATATTTTCATGTATTTGTTGACCATTTGTCTTTGAAAAATATCTATTCAGAGTCTTTACCCATTTCTTAACTGGATTATTTGGTTTTTGTTGTTGAATTTTTGAGTTTCTTATATTTCTGAATATTTTTAATTTATTTAGGAATTCCATACTGTTTTTCCATATTGACTGCACCATTTTGCATTGCCACTAACACTGTACAAGGGTTCCACTCTATCCCTCTCCATCCCAAATAATTAAATGATCCTTCTTTTTGATGCTATAATCATATATATGTAGACTTAATTTTTAAGGTTCATTAGTAACTAGAAGACATTAGACTATGTCGGATTTTATATGGATTTGTAAGAATCCAGAATTCTTAGTGGTAAATTATTATGTGTTCTTTTAAGAAACTGCTGCTAATAAGATTTTTTTTAAAGACTTAGGCTTTTGGGGCCAGCGCTGTGGCGCAGCGGGTTAACGCCCTAGCCTGAAGCACCGGCATCCCATATGTGCACTGGTTAGAGACCCAGCTGCTCCATTTCCTATCCAGCTCTCTGCTATGGTCTGAAAAAAAGATGGCCCCAGTCCTTGGGCTCCTGCACAAACATGGGAGACCTGGAGAAAGCTCCAGGCTTTGGATTGGTGCAGCTCTGGTGGTTGCGGCCAATTGGGTAGTGAACCAGCGGATAGACCCCTCTCTCTCTGCCTCTCCTCTCCCTGTGTAACTCTGAATTTCAAATAAATAAATTAATCTTGAAGAGAGAGAGAGAGAGCGAGAGAGAGAGCTCTTGAGGGCTCTTAAAAAAAAGACTTAGGCTTTTGGAGGTCAGCATTGTGGCTCAGTAGGTTAAGCTGCCTCTTCCGATACCTGCATCCCACAACGGAACACTGGTTTGAGTCCCAGCTGCTCTACTTCTCATCCAGCTCCCTACTAATATGCCTTTGATAGCAGCAGAGGGTAGTTCAGGTGCTTGAAACTGTGCCACCCACATGGGAGACCTGGATGGAATTCTGGGTTCCTGACTTCAGCCAGGACCAGCCTGAACCAGCCCTAGCCACTGTGGCCATTTCGGCAGTGAACCAAAGAGTGCTAGATATCTTTCTCTCTCTGTCTCTCTCTCTCTTTCATTCTGCCTTCTAAATAAATATATCTTAAAGAAAAAAAAAAGACATTGGCTTTTGCAGCAGCATGCATTCAGGGATATACTTGCCTTTTATAGTTATAGCCTAGAAAAAAGTTAATCTGAATACTAGGCATTCTTGTTCTTCATATAAAACAGGAATCAGAAACTATGACTCACAGACATAGTTTTTTTTTTAATTTATTTGATTTTTTTAAAATTTATTTGATAAACAGAGAGAGTGCACTCATTTGCTGGTTCACTCCTCAAATGCCTGCAACAAGCCAGGACTAGGCCAAATTGAAACTTCAAGCTAGGAACTCAAACCAAGTCTCCCACATGGGTGGCAGGAACCCAGTTTCTTCAGTCATCACCTCCTACCAAACTCAAGCATTCTGATTAGGCATCCCAAGTAGTGGTTTAACTGTTACACCAAACACTGCCCTAAGCTATTTTGCTCTAACCCCAAATTAACTGGATATTTTCTCTAGCTGGTTCACTTTAAGGGAAAAAAAAGCTATAGAGCAATAAGATAAGTTGACATTGCAATAAACTGACAGAGATCTAAGATTTTACTGGATGAATGAATGCATGCAAGAATAGATATGATTGAATTAGCCTATACACAATCTGGTCCCTTGATCTTCTATCATGCATCAGCAAACTTCTTTATAAAAGGCCAGATGGTAAGTATCTTTGGCTCTGTGGCCATAAAGTCTCTGAGACAACAGTGCAAGTCTGCTATCGTATGGAGAAAGCTACCATAGAGGATATGCAAACAAATGAGTGTAGCTATGCTCCAATACAATTTTATTTACTAAAAAGGGCTGGGGGTGAGCATTTGACCTCGTGGTTAACACACTGGTTAGGATGCCTGCATCCCAGGTTGAAATACCTGGATTTGTTCTCTGGCTCCTGATTCCAGCTTCTTGCTAATGTGCACTTTAGGAAGCAGTGATGATGGCTCAGTAGTTGAGTCCCTTCACATGGGAGACTCAGATTGAGTTCCTAGTTCCTAGCTTCAGCCTGACCCAGTTCTGGCTTTTGGAAGCATCTGGGGAGTGAAGCAACAAATCAGAGATCTCTCTGTGTCTCTGTCCATCCCTCTTCCTATCTCTCTGCCTTTCAGATAACTAAGATAAAGGTCTGGTGTTGTGGCATAGCAGGTTATGCCTCTACTTGCAACCAGCATCCCATATGAGCACTAATTTGAGCCCCCGCTGCTCTACTTTTGATCCAGCTCCCTTCTAATGCACCTGGGAAAGCAGTGGAGTGCTTGGGCCCCTGCCACCCACAAGAGAGAACCAGATGGGAGTTCCAGGTTCCTGGCTTCAGCCAAGGTGCAGCTTTGGCCATTTGGAGAGTGAACCAACAGATGGAGCATCTTTGTCTATTTCTCTTTCTTTAATTCTGCCTTTCAGAAAAATATAGTTTAAAAATTGAGTTTTTAGTGGTGGCTCAGTAGGTTCAGCTATGGCTTGCAGTGTTGACATCACTTATAGCTACCAAATTGACTCTTGCTTCTGCACTTCTAATCCAGCTCCCTCCTAATGTACCTGGGAAAGGAGCAGAGGCTGGCCCAAGGGCTTGATCCCCTGCACCCATGTGGGAGCCCTGGAAGAAGCTCTTAGTTCCTGGCTTCATTCTAGCCCAGTCCTGGCTGTTGTCACCCTTTTGGGGAGTAAACCAGCAAATGGGTAACACCCCCACCCCCACCTTCTCTATCTGTAACTCTGCCTTTCAGAAATATAAAATAATTCTTTGGAAAAAAATAAACAACATGTAAATAGTGAGAAAAATGAGTTTTTAAATAAATAAATAAATAAGTTCCATTGTTTTTCATGGTGGTTTCTGAAATGAGACTTTTTCTCTACATGTATCAGGGGTGTGGATCTAACAGAAAGATTGTTCTGGGGCCAGCGCTGTGGCATTGCAGGTAAAGCTGCTGCCTGCAGTCGGCATCCCATGTGGGCTCTGGTTCGAGAAATGGCAGCTCCACTTCCAATCTAGCTCTCTACTATGGCCTGGGAAGGCAATGAAGGATGGCCTAAGTGCTTAGGTCCCTGCACGCATGTGGGAGACCTGGAAGAGGCTCCTGGCTTTGCAGTGAACCAGCAGATGGAAGATCTCTCTCTCTCTCTCTCTCTGTCTCTGTCTCTGTCTCTCCACTTCTGCCTCTCTGTAACTCTGCCTTTCCAATAAATAAATAAATTTTAAAAGAGAGAGAGAATGAGATAGAGATTGTTCTGGGAATAGGAGCTCCAGTGTTCCATCAGGCTCCCATAAATTCTTTCTGCACTTCAATATATGTCTCTTAGCTGAATATATTATCTTTGAATACATGACCTTATACTCAGAATTATCAGCTTCTGGGTATAGTACTTTTTAGTTGAACATCATAGCATTTTTATCCTTAGAAAACAGCAGTCAGTAGCTCACTTGTAGTTGTTTAACTAGATGCCAGGTCCTGCTGAAATAAGTTTGTTATGTGTTGGTCTTATTGTCTAAGATAAGCTATTTTATGACTTAAAGTTATTTTTATTTTTCATAATATTTTCTTTTTTACAGAATTATGTTAGAGTAGTAGAAGTTTGGTGGGATGAATATAAAGACTACTTCTACGCCAGTCGTCCGGAATCAAGGTCATTACCATATGGGGATATATCTGAGCTGAAAAAATTTCGAGAAGATCACAACTGCAAAAGTTTCAAGTGGTTCATGGAGGAAATAGCTTATGATATCACCTCATACTACCCTTTGCCACCCAAAAACATTGAGTGGGGAGAAGTAAGTACCAATCAGTATTCTAATCTCAAAGTGTTTATGTTTAGAATATGAGTCTTGGAGAAGGCAGAGAGAGGAGATGGAAATGTGTGACAGAGAAGCATTCTTGGGGGAAAAGTGGGTGCAAACTGTCTGGGAACATCTGCTACTGTTCCACTAGACAACTCTAGTGGCCTGATCACCTAGCCACTGTGCTGTCTTCCTAGCCTTTGCATGCATGGCTCTCTAGCTGGGAATATTATCTGCTCCCCTCCTCCCATTCCTGCCACTTCCTGCCCCTCACTCCTGCTCCCTTTCTTGTCTAATTCCAGCTTATTCTATAGCTCCCAATTCAGAGATCACCAATATGGAGAAGGCTTTCTTCTTCCCCACTCCATCAGAGAGACATGGCTTTGTTCATGGCCATGGGTTCTCAAAACACCAAACTTACCCATCTCCCAACCAGTCTAAGTACTTCAGGACCTTAATCACCATTGTCGCAGTGAATTAAGGCAAGGACTCCTTACATAATAGGTACTCAAACAATGTTTGTCAAATTAATTAATTAATGCTAACTAAAAACACATAAAATCAGACAACAGCATTGATCTATGTTAGCATTTGTTCCTTGAAACTTGCCATTATAACCTCATTTCTGATGGCACTCTTGTGCCTCCTGCTACTGCCTCACAGGTGTCCTAAATATGCCAGGAACTTCCCAGTCTATGTGTATTTGCTTAATTATGTATTCAGCAAATATTGATGAGGTCCTACATATGCCAGTCATTCTATACAGAGAACACAAAAAGTAAGGTTTTCCATTTCTTCACATTCAGTGAAGAGGAGAATACAAACAGATCAGAAAAACAAGGATAATGACAGGTATTAGTAAGGGCTACAAAGGAAAATAAGCAGTTAATAATGTAAGAGAACTTAGGGACAGGGTATGGAAGGAGGCCTCTGAAGAGATTTGAGATCTGAATGATAAAGAGCCAGTCATTCAGAGAGCTGCTCTAAGGCAGCCAGTCAGATAGTATTATAAGAAGAGAAAATGGTGGGTTACAAGGCTGTGAGTCAGGAAGTACTTTGCATATTTGAAAGGCAGAAAAGTAGAGAGTACATGAGGGTGGTGGGAAGCAAAGGGAGGATTTTTAAACAGAAAAATAATTTGATTTGTGCTTTTGTTTTTAATCATCTTGCTGTGAGGATTTGGAATAGAAACAAGGATGCCAGTTAGGAACTGAGTAGGGCATTTCCAGAGAGAGGTAATGGTGGCTTGGAATGGGGTGGCACGGGTGGAGCTGTAGAGAAGCAGACAAATCTAGGATATCTAGTTCCTCTGAAGGTGGGTCACTGATGGATGGTACATGAAGGTTAAAGGCCAGCTTGACATCTGGGTTTCATTTTTTTTTAAGACTTATTTATTTATTTGAAAGTCAGAGTTACACAGAGAGAGAAGGAAAGGCAGAGAGAGAGAGAGAGAGAGCGAGCTCTCATCCACTGGTTCACTCCCCAATTGGCTGCAACCACTGGAGCTGAGCTGAACTGAAGCCAGGAGCCAGGAGCTTCTTACATGTCTCCCATGTGGGTGCAGAGACCCACGTACTTGGGCATCTTCCACTGCTTTCCCAGGCCATAGCAGAGAGCTGGATTGAAAGTGGAGCATCTGGGACTCTAACTGGTGCCCATATGGGCTGCCAGCACTGCAGGTGGTAGCCCTACCCACTATGCTACATCGCTGGCCCCTGGGTTTCATTTTTTTTTTTTTTCGAGTAGTTGATTAGGTGTCAGTTGAGACTGGGAAGATGATAGAAGGAGTAAATTAGGAGGGACTGGGGAATAGCAAGTTCCTTATTGGTGTTCTGGACACATAAAAATACCTATTACACATGCAGGTGGAGCCATAAAGTCCTGTTGACTATAAATTGCAGGCTATGTGGTAGTGGAGCTAGAAAAGAGGCCACTCAAAAAATGTATGTTTGGGGGCTAGCAGCATGCATGTTGTTTCCTTGGACTGATTGATGTTACCTAAAGAGAAAAAATAGATAGGACAGGACCCATCCTTAAGAACACCAGCATTTAGAATTTGGGAATAAAAGAAGAAATCAACCAAGAATACTTAATGCTACTTTCTCTGTACATCTTGTTTTAAGTACTTTTCTTCTATACCCTTTTTCTATCTGTCCCATTACAGCAAATTGTGTTTAACTCTTAACTAGACCATAAGCTCCTGGGAGCCCAGACTACATTTTGGTTAGTTTTCAGTCTCACAGAATACCCATTAGTAAAATGTCTTCTTCAAAAAAAGGGAGTGATTTTTCTTGCTAATCTTACCAGTCTTATGGCTTTAAAACCACCTTTGTGCAGGGTCAAGTATATCTACTTGCTTATTTGACATCTTCATGTAAATATCTAACAGACATTTCAAATGCAGTATATTCAAAGTTGAACTCCAAATCTCCCCTCCCCAACCCTTCTTTGCTGATTGCTCAAACCAGATTCTTTGGAATCTTCTTTAAATTCTGTTTGCTCACACTCAACATTCAATTCCAGAATCTGAACTTTTCTTTCCTGGCCCAAGTCATCAGGGTTTCTCACTGAGGCTAACTTTTGTCCCTCCTACAGCCAGTTCTAAACATAGCAGAACAATCTTTTTAAAATGCAAGTCACGTCGTTACTCCTCTATTAGAAACCTGGAATGACATTCCATTCACTCAGAATGAGGACAGGCTGTTTTTCTGGTGGCCCTCAAGGTCTATACCATTTGGCCCATTCCTTTCTGGCCTTATCTGCTCCTACTGCTCTCCCTACTCGACTGCAGCTCCAGCATACTGAATGATCCTCAGACTTCCAGACTTCCAGGTTCTGCCTCTGTGATCTGCCCGAAGTGCTTTCCTTCCTTCAGACTCTGTAAGCAGAGGTTCTTAACCTTCAAGTCTGCTCAATACTCACCTTCTCAGTGAGATCTGCCCTGCTACCCCCAAGCCCTAACCCCTTTAACTTGATCTGTTTCTTTTTTCCATGGCAATTCCCACTTTCTAACATAACAGATAATTTGTTAACGTTTTTTGCTTACATTTTGTCAGTTCCCTAGAATGTAACTTTACTGGGGCTGAAGTCTATTTTATTCACTGGTAGATCAGAGCCTACAACAGGCCTGACATACGTTGGTATTTACTTAATAATGGATGAATGAGTAAACATATGAATGAATGCAAGAGTGGATAAATGAATTAATGGAATTTTCTCTCCTTTTACTGCCTCACCCTGAATACATCGTCAGTTTAATCTCTCCCCATTCTGGCACCTGTACTTGTCACTTCATTTCTTAGCATTCCCTGAAAATTCCAGGATAAACATATCTGAAATCCATCTCCTTAACCAGTCTTCAGAGCTCAGGGAGAGAGGTTCCCTCTGTCCACTCCCACCACCATCCTCGCTGACAGCTACCCTTCTGTCTCCCTACAGACTAGTCCTGAAGACCCTGACTTGTTCCTCTTTATATCTTCAGAAGCTTTTATTATCACAGATACGTAGTCAATGTTGGTTGACTAAATGAATAAATAAAACATTATCCAAATACTATAATGGTTTATAATAGATATAAATATATACTATCCCAATTTTTTAATGTACTTTCCAAAAATGGATATCTATGTTTACTTTTCACCTACATTGTCCATAATTAGTGAAAAGCCTCACTACCTGGCCCAGATACTGTGAACTTTGGCCCCAAAACTTCTGAAGGCAGCTACCAAAAGTGCTGCATAGTCATTTTGAAGAGGTACTTACAAATCCAAGTCTGTTCCACATATCTAGGACCAGTGTTCGTTACCACTGTGGTTAGCTAAGTGCATTCTAGTTGCTTCTCATTCACAAGGGTGTAGTGAATGGTTGTGTTTTTATTCCTTCTGTGGTATGTTATGGAACTCTGTAGGCCCTTTGTTGAAATAAGTGTATTCCAGAGTTGACTTCAAGACTATAAATAACTTCAAAAATGAGTGGTACACTCAAAAATACTTCAAGATTGACAAAATAGTAATGATCTGTTACTGCCCACACCCATATTTCCCCAGTGAACTGCAGTATTTAATATGATTAAGATTTTAATCTGGTGGTAAGAGCTTCCTAAAAACTAAATTGGTACCTGCTTTTTGGGTTCTTTGTTCTTTTTTATCTTTTTAGATCAGAGGCTTTGAGACTGCTTACTGCATTGATAGCATGGGAAGAACAAATGGAGGCTTTGTGGAATTAGGACCCTGCCACAGGATGGGCGGGAATCAGGTAAACCGCCATACTTTCATATTTCAATTGACCTCTTTTGAGAGCTGCTGGCGTTTCATATGGCTTTTAGATGGTTTTTATTTCTTTATATGAGAAGCAGAGAGACAGACAGACAAAGAGGTCTCATTTGCTGGTTTACACTCTCAGATACCTGAAATGTCTGGGGCCGAGCCAGGCTAGGCAAAAGCCAGGAGCCAGGAACTCAATCCAGGTCTCCCCGATGTGAGTGGCAGTCACCTGCTTGAGCCACCGCCTGCCGCCTCAAAGGTGCGCATTGGCAGAAAGCTTGAATCAGGAGCAAGGTGAAGACTTGAACCCAGGCCTTCCAGTGTGGCATGCAGGCATCTTAACTGGAATCAACCACTACTCAGAATACCTGCTGCTGGTTTGGTTTTTAATCTGGTAACTTTGTTTCAATAAAATAAAATATTCTGTAAAAAATTGACAGTGCTAAAACATTCACTTAAATGAGGGCAATAATAGCAGTATTGGTCTTCTTATAAGCAGTCAGAATCTAAAATTGATTTATAATGGAAGAGACTAAAATATATTCCAATGGAAGTATATATATTTGTCAGTACTACATAAGCCTAGGTCCCTAACTATATTTTTGTAAATATTGGTCAGTAATCCATATTTTTCCCAATAAACTGACATGTACTGCTGATAATGTGTATTTCATTAAAATGTTTTCTCCTTTATTGTTCATTGTTCTTGCATCAAATTTAGATTGTGAAGCGTTATGAAGTCTGTTACTACCTTTTCATTTTCTTAAATCATTGGTATATGTAATTATATGTTAATGATCCATTCTGTATTTAGAGAGAAAAACATCAGAATTTAAGTGTTAATAGGGGTCTTCACTAACATTAAAATAAATATAATTCCTTTATGTAGATTTTTAGTTCTGAACACACAGAAAGATTATGTAATAAAAAGTCATTCACTTTAATTATAAAAGGAGTAAGTTTGTTCTCTTTCTTTAAATGCATATCATCAGGAGAGGTACCTGTGTTAATGTTTTGTTTCTTTTTTTTTTTTTAAAAAAAAAGCTTTTCCGAATCAATGAAGCAAATCAACTCATGCAGTATGACCAGTGTTTGACAAAGGGGCATGATGGATCAAAAGTTATGATTATACACTGTTATCCAAATGAATTTAAGGAATGGCAGTACTTAAAGGTATTATGCATTTCAACTCCTAAAATAATATTACATGCTATTTCATTGTCAGTGACACCTAACACATGGAATTTAGATGAATTAATATTTAAATCTTCATTCAAATTGATTTGCATTTCCCCCTTATGTTGTCGTTTGTGGAGGTTTTCCTGAACACTAAGTGAACCCCTCTTTGTGTCCCAATGATGTCCTTGAAGACCCATGGCTAGTTTCAGTAACGTAACAAAATCAGTGTTCTGTGAAGCAATCATCTCTATCGTTCTAGTATCGTAGATGATTTGTAAATCTGAATTATTCACTAAAGTAAAATATATTTATACTATGAAAATGTGGTTAATATTTCAATTTGTCCAGCAGGAGGAGCTAGAGACAAACAAAACATGGAAACCGAAACTTTCACAACTTCCTTATTGTTTGCCAAACATAGCCTATTAAATGTAGATATTGCTTGCCTTAAAGTCAAATTTAGTTATTCAGGTGACACTGCTGGGGAAGTTTTTAGTGTTTCAACTATTAAATATTTAAAGCTCTGTGGCAAGTTAAGGATTCTAACGTATTAATTAACTTATGCATAGTTCTCAAGTCAGCTTATAAAGCAAAAAGATTAGAAAAGCTGCCTCAAACTGAAAGACCCCAGAAACACTCCCTTTATTTATATAGTTGTTGATATCATACCCCATCTGTCATGCAAGCATTTGTGTGCTTTACAGTAATGATATGGTGACCCAGCTTAATATTCCCAGTTATCATCAAATATGGATAATTACCATGAAGTGGTAAGCATGTGGCAACTGTTGATTTTTTTGTTGTTGTTGTTGTTATAACAATTTAGCCAGGGGGCGGATGGGGGGCAGCATTGTGGTGTAGAGGGTAAAGGCACTGCCTGCAACACCAGCATCCTATATGGGCATTGGTTCGAGTCCTGGCTGCTCCATTTCCAATCCAGCTCCCTGCTAATGTGCCTGGGAAAGCAGCAGATAATGGACCAAGTGCTTGGGCCCCTTCTCCCATGTGGGAGACTTTAAAGAAGCTCCTGGCTCCTGGCTTCGGACAGGCCCAGCTCTGGCCCTTGCAGCCATTTGGGGACTGAACTAGCAGACAGAAGATCTCTCTGTCTCTCTCTCTCTCTCTCTCTATCTCCCCATTCTCCCTCTGTAACTTTGCCTTTCAAATAAAAAAAAAAATTAGGAAGGAGATTAACATTAGCCTCAAAGAACAGAACATTTATATTTAAAAATAAAAATGAATAATAATAGCAATAAATGATAGGGGTCAATGAGAACAATATTAAAAACTTACCATCAAGAACCATCAAGAAATCTGGATAAAAAATGTAATATGTGTATCTTAGATATTTTGAAACACATTATTTTTAGACACAGCACTGAATATGTATTTATGAATCAAACTTGAATAAATATCCACTGGGGCTCAATGCTGTGGTGGACTGTATAGCAGTGAAAAATATCTAAATCACACTGTATTAGAATGCCATTGGACAACAAAAGAAGGATTAATAGGAGAAATTATTTCTGATGAGTTTCACAGAGGAACCATCATGGCCCCAAGTCCATGATAGTTAGGAGGGGTGGGTTGGGGGGACACAACTTTCCATGGAAAATGAATGAAGAAATTGGATGAGTAAAGTTATAGCATGAAAAATACATAGAAAATTATAAGAAACACATTCAGTTTGATATCCCTAATTTTGTGCTCCATAGACAAGAACATTGAACTTTATTTTGTTAAGTTTTGGAGAATAGACATCATTTGAGGAAAGTATTCATAGGAAGCAGTCAATACTTTTAGGAAAACAATCTGGAAACATTGTGAAGTATGGACTGATGATGCAAGATCAGCTGAAGTAGCAGTTCTCAGACTCACTGGTCTCTAGGTTCCATTTACACTTTTTTTTTTAATATTTATTTATTTATTTGAAAGGCAGAGATACAGAGAGAGAAGGAGAGGCAGAGAGAAAGAGAGAGACAGATCTTCCATCCGCTGCTTTACTTCCTAAATGGCTGAAATGGCTGGTGCTAGACCAGGCCGAAGCCAGGAACATCTTCCCATTCTACATGGGTGCAGGGGCCCAAGCAGTTGTGCCATCTTCTGCTTTTCCCAAGTGCATTAGTGGAGAGCTAAATCAGAAGTAGAGCAGCCAGGACTTGAACTGGTGCCCATTTAGGATGCCAGCACTGCAAGCGAAGCTTAACCTATGCTGCAGTGCCGGCCCTCCATTTACACTCTTAAAAAAAATTATTATTTAAAAAAAAATTATTGAAAGCACCTCCAGCTCTTGGTTATATGTTATTGCTAATAATATTTCTATAATTAGAAATTAAACCTGAGAAGTAGTAAAATGTTTATGTATTCATGTAAAAATAATACTATTATATGTTAACAGAATTTTAACATTGTAATGAAAATATCTTCTCACACAAAAATAGCAAGAAGAATAGCATTGTTCTGTATTTTTGGAAATCACTTTAATATCTGATTTATAGAAAACAACTGGATTCTTGTACTTGCTTTTATACTGAGTTTGCTACAGTGTTTTAGCTGAATTATATGAGCAAATCCAACCTCACACCAGCACTCAGGAAAGATAGAATAACTTTTTCAGATTGTTACAGCTTTACTTCTTTCTTACTACATCACAACTCAGCAAGTGGCATTTGCTTTTTTTTAAAGATTTATTTATTTATTTATTATTTGAAAGAGTTAGAGTGAGGCAGAGACAGAGATCTTCCATCCACTGGTTCACTCCCTAAATGACCACAACGGCTGGAGCTGGCCAATCTGAAACTGAGAGCCTGGAGCTTCTTCTGGGTCTCCCATGCAGGTACAGGGGCCCAAAGACTTGGGCCATCTTCTATTGCTTTCCCTGGCCACAGTAGAGAGCTGGATCTGAAGTGGAGCAGCCGGGACTAGAACCAGTGCCTATATAGGATGCCATCACTGCAGGTGGCGGCTTTACCTGCTATGCCACAGCACCAGCCCCAGCAAGTGGTATTTTCTTAAACATTATTTACATTGTAGAATCTGAGTGTTCTTATCAGTAAACATTCTGTTCTACTTTATGTTAAAATCCATTGGTCTGTCTGACACTTTGAATGGCTCTCTTATCCATGCACTGCTTGTTTAGCAAATAATGTTCACTAAATCATATAAAGATTTATTTATTTGAAAAAGTGACAGAGAGATACAGAGAGACTTTTTCCATCTGCTGGTTTATTCCCCAAATGCCCACAATGGCCAGAGCTGTGCCAGGCAGAAGCCAGGAGTCATCCTGGTCTCCCGTGTGGGTGGCAGGGAGACAAGAACCTGAGCCACCATCTGCTCTCTCCTAGATACATTACCAGGAAGCTAAATCAGAAGCGGGGTAGCCGCAACTCAAGCCAAGCACTCTGATACGGGATCTGGGCCTCCTAGGAGGTGGCCCAACATACTATGCCACAACACTGCCTCCACTAAGTTCATATATATATTTTTCTAAATGTTGAAATAGTTCATTATATCATATCCAAGAATCACAGCTATAACCATCAGTTTCATCAGAAAAGTCTTTAAATAATGTGAAACTATCAAGTGTTTGTGGTGGTGATTATAAGTTTTCTAAAACTTTAATTTTTTCTTGAAAAGTCAAATTTTGTCAATGGCAACAAACACTGTCAAGTATTTTGCTTCTTAAACTGACAGACTCCATTTTTGAGAAAATCTTTACCCATAATCATAGTTTGTCTATGAAGTGTTCTTTTTTTTTTTTTTTTTTTTAAGATTCATGTATGTATTTGAACGTCAGAGTTACACAGAGATAGAAGGAGAGGCAGAGAGAAAGAGGTCTTCCATCTGCTGGTTCACTCCCCAAATGGCTGCAGTGGTCATAGCTGCGCTGATCCGAAGCCAGGAGCTGCTTCCAGGTCTCCCACATAGGTGCAGGGGCCCAAGGACCTGGACTATCCTCCACTACTTCTTCAGGCCACAGCAGAGAGCTGGATCAGAAGTGGGGCAGCCGGGACTCAAACCTGCACCCATATGGGATGCCTACATTGCAGGCGGCAGCCCCACCCGCTACACCACAGCATTGGCCCGAGGTGTTCTTTCAAGAAAAAAAAAATAACATTCCATGAAAAAAAGCAGCTAGTTCATTAAAAGGACTTAGAAGGCTAACAATCAAAAGAAATCCAGAGTCTGAGATATGGTTGGTAAGAACTTGTTCAGTTTGAATTATCTGCTTATGAAAGCCAGGTAATGACTTCTAATGTTAGTGATATCAAAAGAATACAAATTTGAAACTTTTTTTTCCTTACTTTGTTTTCCAGAACCTGCACAGATTTACTCACATTCCTTCAGGAAAGTGCTTAGATCGCTCAGAGGTCCTACATCAAGTGTTCATCTCCAATTGTGACTCCAATAAAATGACTCAAAAATGGGAAATGAATAACATCCATAGTGTTTAGAAAGAATTTTTAAAAAACCAATAATCTACCTGCTGACAAGTAAATTTATACAGGACTGAAACCTGCCTGAAACCTGCTGCAACTATTACTGTTAACTCTGTACAGCTCCAAACCCAGAACCTCCTGATCAGTTTGAAGGACAATGATAAACTGTGATTTTACAATAACATTATCATCCGCAGTTACTGTTTACAAAACTGCTTTTACCTTAAACTTTGTAGATGTTTACATCTTTTTTGTTTTGTTTTAAGATGATGTTGGTAATTTGTGCCTTTAGCTCTGTTTTACTGGAACAGAGTTAAAAGCATTTGTCTTCTTTGGGACTACACTCAGGGGTATGAAAGGCAGTTTGATTTTTTTTTTTAACACACTTGAAAAAAGGTTGGAATAACCAGACTTTCATATATAATGTGGTGATTATCAACCTGTTGTGTCTTTATTTAATTTCACATCTTTTTGAAGCACTGCCACAGGTTATTAGACAAGGTGGCCTTCTTTCACAGTCATGCTGCTTTTTTGAAAGGTGAATTTCGACACATTTAGTGCCTCTTTCATTTCTCAGTATATATCTCAAGAGCTTTTGATGAAATTTATAGGATAGTAATGATGGAATTGTCACCTATATGAGAATACTCTTATTTCTCAGAAATGAATTGACATGCTGCCATTTGCTATGAAGTTAAGTGCTGTAAGGCTTTAAAAAGAAATGACAACATGGAACATCCCAAGGCTATGCCATAGGGTTTGAAGATTGCACTGCGTTAACTCCCTTACCTGCTGGCATTTCCAATGCCCTCTGTCCTTGCAAACCCCGAGAATGGTAAAGGGGTTTTCCAACTAGAGCAAAATTATCCACTGACATTTGGGATTCACTTTTCCCTACTGTCATTTTAGAAAACTATAAATCTCAGTTTTAAAACTTGAGAGTAAAAAAACAAAATGAGAAAGCACCACTATAGAAAAGACAAATGTTCATTCTGAGGTAAAAATCCCCAAGCCCTTTTTAGATTAAGCCTTACGAAACTCCTGTGCATTATAACCTAAGCTGTGCAACCTGTAAAGCCGAGAGTGAATTGATGTTTCATTTATATCATCATTCAAATGAATTCCCTGTGCATTTTTAAAATTAAGAAAAAAAAAAACACTTAAGAATACAGTTCATTAACAAATGGCAACTACTTTCTGTTTGATTGGGTGTTAGTTCCCTTATGTTTCTTAATTTCTTTTTAGGAAGTATATTTTTATTAGTATTTTCCACTGAAAAGAAGATTTGTTTGGATTTAAACATTTGTTACCTATAGGAGAACCAAATACTGCAAATGGTCAATTAGATTTTAACTGCTAAACAAATAGTCTTTTTTAACCAAAAATATTTAAATGCCTAAATTGAGTGCTAAAAAGAAAATATGATATGGTGAGAATTTACAAGTATAGTAAGAATTTTGATCTGTAATCATGATATCAGCTACCATGGAAAGAACTCACAATATACTGCCAGAGGGAAATATTTTTAATTAAAATTTAAAAATAAGAGAAAAAACCTATACTTGTTTAAAAGAGCTTATGAAGTTTCTTCCAGACTTAGTTAGCTCTTAATTGAGACCCAAACATCCTAAACAGAGTTTTATTTATAGTTTTGAATTGTCAATTTGTATTTTGCTACTGATCTGTGGTCAATCATTTTAACTTTCATTCATCTCTATGAATATTTGGAAAGAATACATTTATATGCTTATATAATTATAAAATAAATCAACTATAAAAAAAGAAACTAAGAATTGGTATTTTAATTACTTGTGTGTTTGCAAATAGATTCCATTTTCCATGTTGAAGAAATTATAACCAGCCGGCGCCGTGGCTCAATAGGCTAATCCTCCACCTTGCGGCGCCGGCACACCGGGTTCTAGTCCCGGTTGGGGCGCCGGATTCTGTCCCGGTTGCCCCTCTTCCAGGCCAGCTCTCTGCTATGGCCAGGGAGTGCAGTGGAGGATGGCCCAGGTGCTTGGGCCCTGCACCCCATGGGAGACCAGGAAAAGCACCTGGCTCCTGGCTCCTGCCAGGATCAGCGCGGTGCGCCCGGCTGCAGCGGCGGCCATTGGAGGGTGAACCAACGGCAAAAGGAAGACCTTTCTCTCTCTGTCTCTCTCTCTCACTGTCCACTCTGCCTGTGGGAAAAAAAAAAAAAAAAAAAAAAGGAACATGATTCTGAGAAAGGACCATCTTCCTATGTCCATGAACCAGCAAAGGCCTCTTACAGACAAGATATCCAGTAAATATATCTTTAAAAAATCACCTATTTTTTTCATTTTGTGTGAAAGGCAGAGATCTTCCATTCACTGGCTCACTCCCCAAATGCCTGCAACAACCAGGGCTGGGCCAGGCTGAAGCCAGGAGCCTGAAACTGTGGGGAGCAACTGGGAGCAACTCGGACTAGACTAAGTTACTGGAATTAAGACTTATTCTATGCATCTGCTCTCCCACAATATGGTGCTGGGAGAGGAGGAAACAGCTTCTACACAGCTGCCTCCAGTTCAACCAGTAACCTGCAGGAGCTGATCCTGCTCCTGATTGGAGGAGAGCAGCGTACTCGGCCTGTGGGTAGCAGAGTTGGGATTGGTGGAAGAGGACTATAAAGGAGGAGAGAGACAACATGCACCAGGAACACCTGAGGAACATCTGAGCAGCCCCCGAGAGAGCCGGCCGGCGGTGTGCCGCTCCCCCGCGGAAGTGGGGAAAGCGGCAGGGG